TCTGGGATTTTTCATGATGTGAAAATTACCAGCATTTTTGCATAAACAAGAAGACTACCTTAATTTATTGTGAACATATGCAAAAGAATGATTTGTAACTTTATGACTGATGAAAAGTAAATGCATTTGGAATATTATTTCATCATACCTGATAGGTTTTAAGTTCATTTTTTTCTCCAAAATTCAAGACTTTGTCATTCCATTTAAATAATAAAGATTTATTTCTTATACAGCCAAATTTATGAGTTTAGACTGTTTCCCTATTCTATAACGAAGTGCTGTTATTTCTCTTGGTACATATTATGGAAACAGTGACCAAAATGTTGTTTTTCCTCATTCCTGCCTTTTTTCCCCCTTGTTTTGTGTTTTTGTTATTGTTTACCTCATTTTATTTTAAAAATAAGTAGGAAAACTTTTTAAATGTTTTAAGATTTTGGGAGAGAGACCTCTTTAGCAAGCCTTACCCTGCAAGAAATAATTATTTATTTTGTTCAAGATAAGGGCAAGTTTTAAACTGATCTCCACCCTTTCATATGGAGGTGACATTTCAGATGGTACAGGACTTTCTTCTTCAAGAGAAAATGGTACAGTGAGATGGCAGAAACTGGAAACTGAAGTTAAAAAAAGTATCACAGGTGAAGAAACTGACAAGTGAAACAAGCTGATCTAAAGGCTTGTGAGTTTTCCAGATTTTAACATCTCAATTTGATTCTAAATTCCTGCTCTGGCTGAGTGAAAAACTTGCTGCAAGGATTATCAGTAATTCTCTATGGCTTATGCTAAGAAGAGACTCAAATTAGCTGGAACATAACCACTCCTTCTGTTCTTAAAATCTGTGAATCACCCAAAAAATTTTTTATCAAACCCATAGAAGATAAGAGTGAAGACTGCAAATATTTCTGAAGGGGGAAAAAAACAAGCAAATAATCCCTTTAAAAAACTTCACATATTTATATGAGGATTTCAGCACTAACTTGAAAATATAAAGTACGGCTGAACTGTCAAGTTAGTTCTAGACAGAAAAAAAACCTGCTAAAACCCTGTAATGCCAGTAGCATTTCTGGCACATCCCTCTTAAAGTGCTGCTTTGTGCCATGTCAGCCTCTCTCCTGCCTTATTCACCCATCAACCTAATTTCTCACTCCTGCACTTCTTTTATCACTTTCCTTATCATTCTGTTCTTTAGGGTTTGCTTTTTTCTTTTGACACTATCAGGCCTAGCTACAAGTGGCACTTCTCCCTGGCACTTCATTGCATATCCTTCCTCTGTGCACACAGCACAGGCAGTCAGGAGCAGAGTGGAGTCAGCAGGGATGGAGCAACCTAAGCCCCTGCTGCCACCAATCACCCTATCACATGCTGGACCCTGCAGCCAAATTAATGAGCATAGTGCCTTCTTCAGGAGCAATCCTGTGTAGCCTTTGCTGCACTCTAGCAGTTCTTGTATTTTATGAGTGAAACTGTGGACAAAACATGTAGGAATGACATCAGCAAAATGGACAAGCCAGGAAAGCATGAAGTGGATACCAAAATGAGAGAAGCTCCCGCAGAAATGTGCTAAATGTGAAACCCTTAAAGGTTTTTTATGAGATACAGGGGCCTTAATGCTCATTTGAAAAGTAAGGATAAGATTTGTTGGAAAAAGTTTGGTTTGCTGACAGACCTGATTGTGTTGGCCTAACTCCCCTCAGTGACTTCAGCAGGCTTGTGGAGTGAGGGAGAGCAGGACAGAGCTGCAGATATGTCTGTCATTTGTTTTGCATGCAGAGGGTTTTCCCAGGCAGCTGTGCACCCCAATCCATTTGGTTGCCCACAGCTGCAGGTTTATTCTTAGTTTCAGGAATGTGAATCCTTGTGGACATGGTAATGGCTTCGTGTCAGCAAGGAGACAGGTTTTCCCCTCAAAATAGTTCTCTTTGTGGACAGGTCAGTTTCCAGATTAAGTGGATAAGGGTATTTGGTCACATCTGATTCCTGAACCACGTTAATCACTTGAGGTATCAAAATTACTTGCCTGGATTAGATTGCTCTTGCTAGTTCTGCTACATGTAACTACATGTAGCGCAGTGTGTTTTCATTAAAAACTCTTAAAAACTCTAGGCATGGGACTGAAGCATAAGATAGAGCCAAGCTCCTTCTGCTCTGCAACCCCATGAAGAAAAGTGAGAGGACAAAAACTGCAGGCTGGGCTGGCTGGGTGGGTGCTGTCCCACCAGCTGGCAGAGCGCTGTGTCCCAGCCCACAGGCCACGGTGAGAACTGGTGCCCATGATGCCGTGTGGGCACACAGTGGTACATCAAGAAGTCAAGCTGATGGGCTGTGTGACTTTATAAGACTTGATCTTTGTAAGATCCGCTGCTTGCCAGAGCAGGTATTGGCTCCTCGGCTAAGCCAAAGCTGTCCAAATAAACTCAGGCAAACACAAGGACAATAAAAATATCACACAGTTCTCCATCAACTAGGAGGGCAAAGCAAGTTTCTTTGACACATCTACCACAGAAAATCCAGCATATTCTAGAGAACTTAATGTCCATGCATATTCTAGAAAACTTCTTCCAGACATTCCAGTGCAGGGACATCTCTGAGAACAAGATGCACCCAAAATTATCCGGCTGTTACCTGGGAAAGAGTTCAGGTCTTAATGTAATAAATTAACAAGAACATAATTCAGGCAAGAACATCAAGGTTTCTATTTCTTCCAAAAATTGATGGATTACAGTTTGCGCATTTAGCCTTTAATATTTATTGCAATGATTCTGAATATCCTGAGTGGTGCTGAACATCCTCCTATCCAATCTCCTTCCTTTGGACATTTGTCTCTTAAATATGTGAAAACTTTTATCCTTTCTACCTACTAAGCCCTGCTTAGTCAAGCTATTCAGCTAAGTCACTACTAAAAATTCTCTTCTATTTTTAACCTTCAATATTCTTCGGATTTCTTTAATCATTACAAGCTCCAGTTTGTGCCCTGTGACAACATCTCATTAAAATGGTGTTTCTACTCAGATCCTAATGTAGTACAACCAGCCACTGCTCAGTTGAAGTCATGAAGGGACACTGATTTAGGAGATTTGTCTCTTCACTATCTTAATTTCTGTTAACTGACACTTTGGAGAAAATGGGAATAGGAAAGGTGAAAAAAAAATTATATGGGAATAAGACAAAATATATTATGAAGATAAACAGGTTTTCTACTTTGCTGAACTCAAGTACCTTGCTCAAAAGACAACCCCTGGGGAAATTTGGATAAGTCAATAGCGTTAAACCAGTTTCTAAACGGGTTATAATATATGATAAATTTCTGTAACAAGTGAGCAAATTTGCACCAATTAATGAAGCTATAAAACACGAATCTATTGCTTTGAAGAACATATGCAAACTTCTTTTTGCTTAGGTGACAAAATTTGGCCAACTCTTGTATGTTAGAGGAAGCAGTCAATCTACCCAAGTAACATGGCTGAAAACATGTACCCTTTTTGAGATGCAAGGCCACTATAACTTCAAAGAGCAGCAGAGCTCCATACAAGATATTTGCCCTGTGATCTTTGAAGAGTTGAACACATCTTCTGTCAGAAGACAACAGACAACTCATTCGCCCATGAATCTGACATTGTGTAATATTGTTAGTAGACTTTTTGCCAAGAATGCTAGCAATAAATTGAATGTAATGAAATGGAAAGTCAAACATCTTAGGAATGATTTATATAAAGATAAGTCTGTTCTTTGAGGAAGGACAACAAACTGGTTTCTCAGACCAGTCTGACAGTGTCCATATCAAAAATGAAATAATCTAAGCCAAGCAAAGCATAATACTGCCAGGGTTATAAAAGGATGAGGAGAAAAGCAATAATTCATGGAAGTCCTAACGAAACAAGCAGATCAATCCATAGGTGCCTTCCACTATTTCATATATTGTACCTCCACAGTATTCCAGTAATATAGTGACAATGGACAATGCAAACAAGAAATTTAGGGTGATAAAACTGTGTCTTCCTTGAAGTCGAAGCAAAATTTTGTCATTTTCAGAATCAGTATTTCATCCTTGAGTGGTTTTATTTTCAAGTATTCACAGCGAGGAGGTGACTGGCTTTCAGCACTCAGCCTCTCTAACTGTCTGTTCTTAAAAAAAAATTTGTATTATCAGATTTAAAGAGATTTGAAACCTAGCTTCACTGACTTCTAATCTATTTCAGAAACCTCCTAACAATAATAACTAAAATAAATAACTGTGCTTGTTTTCACCATCATTGAAGGACTGGCTACAAACATTCTTTCTTCCATCTCCCCCCTCTGTCCACCCTGCACTAGCATTCTTTAATTGTTCATTCTGGTCAGGGTTAAAGTGAGAACTATTTCTTCTTCTTTCCTCTTCACTGCCTCAGTTCAAGCTGAAAGTGACTGTTTCTTCCAGTAGATAAAACAGCAAAGAACTTTTATTGCTTCACTCAGGTATGTCACTTGGAAAAAGAAGAGCTATTGTCCAGGATACACAATACATTCAAGACCTCCTTAACACTCAACACTACTCTTTAAATCCCTTTAGGGATATAGGCAAACACATACCCCTAAAAAAGCCAGAAGAAAAAATGTTTCCTAGTGTTTGCAGGCTCTCAGAGGAAAGCCTGTTAAAATTCAAGGGAATCTGTCACCATCAATGATGGAATCTCAGAAGACAAGAATGGGGATTAGCCTGATAAAACATCTACCTGTGTCAACAGAGAAACAAAGCTCCATCAGACACTGATCCAGGCAACTCAACATCTGTGCTCCACCACCAGCACCATCACCTCCCCCAGTGACAGCTGAGCGTGCTTGCAATGCATGTCTGCTTCTCCTCAACACCAGTCAAAAGACTGCAGAGATCACTGCTGGTGTGGCTCCCTGACAGCTCTGTCTAAGGATTCTGCACCAAAAGCATGTACAGTGCTATAAATGCTTTACTCTCCCTCACTGCAAATAGATAAAGATTTTGTTTCTCCCAAGAAGACAATCTTACTTACTTGGGATAGCGTCTCTGCTGAAAGATGGGCAGAATCTCTGTATCTTGATTTGAATGCAGAAGCAGTAAATCCCGAAATCTTTCTGTCAGGACAAAGAAAAAAAAAAAAGAAGAAAAGAAAAAAAAACAAACCCAGACTGTGACTCTGCATTATATGTTCAGGCCACGAGTAAGCAAGCAGTAATATCAGTGAATTCTCTTCTCCAGAAATATTTAGCAGAGGACATAACTAAGCATGGAGGGACTAAAAATCACTGTTTCCTGTAAAACCTAATATTTTAAAATGCCTTTTTTTTTTCATTCAATACTAAATTCTAGTAGTGCCTATAAGTTTCCAAGGTCTGCACAGAGGTCTTCTGAGTCTCATGCACAGCCAGCCGTAAAAAGTCTCTGCCTTGAAGAGCCTAGTCTAAACAGAAAGGAGGAGCCCCTAAGAATTCACATTAAGGAACACAGTAGTCAAAACAAACATAGATTAATTAATTCATATAAATTAAACTGCAGTACAAAAGTTGGTAATGGGCTTAATGTTTTTAAGGATGGTTGGAAGACTGGATTTCTTTTTTGTCATAATTATCTATTTCAAAAACTGCATTATTGGATTTTCTGCGGGAGCTAAAGCTTTTGTAACTTAATTTCACTGACCACCAAATAAAAGGGTGGTTGCAATTAGCGTAGCTGCCTTTCTCTTATGCTTTTCTCTAGAGGTGGTTAGACATAGTAAGTCAAGTGGGATCTGTAGGATGTTCTATCAGTCCAGATTTCTCAGTCAAGAAAGACAGAAACCTCCTTAAAATTCACATTATATTAAGATTCAGGGATAGAATGGGATTTCCCACCCAGATCAAATTCCTTTAGTAGCTCTCCATAGCATGGGATGTGCTCTGTTTCCTTCTTTCCTTCTGTCACCTGCAAGTTTAATCTGTCCTACAGTGGCACAGAACTGATGCCCTTTCCACCTCCTACCCTTCCTTCAATACTTTATAACTGTGGCTGAAAGTCTTCAGCTACAGGTATTATCCTTCCTTTGCTAAACCATAGTTTGTAGCCTTTGGTGTGTGTGGCAGCTGTACCATGGATTTCTCCAAACTAGCTCTCTTCCATGAAAGTTTTCATTCTGGAAACTGAACCTCAGGGTAAGTGTAGTCCTCCTCCTCCCAGATTCCTATGTATCTTAAAACATTCTCTAACACCAAGTTTATGAATAAGAAAATTACAAGACAAAAAACCATTTAGATTTATGCAATATTCTGTATCAAAACTAAGCTCCATTAATTTGGATACAATTCTGCTATGTAGCCTCTAAAGTGGAAAGAAACCCATCTGAATCATACTTCATAAAGTTGTAATATCGTGAAAAAAGCACAGTTAATTCAGAAGGAAAACTCTTGTTAAGGCCTCAGTTTTAAAGGTCAGCTATCTTACACCTGAGTCTTTTCTCAGCTGGCTAAGACATATTGCAAACATCTTGGATAAGATACCAGGATCTGCCAGTGAAGAAAGAAGGGCTTATCTTTCTTCCTTTATTTGTACACCTCTTCATATTCAATTCTGAAAGAAACAAGCACTCCTACCTCCAAAATTCTTCTCAAATCTTCAAAATGTAAATCAGTCTTCCTGTGCCTAACTAGGACAAAGAGCAGATGTGGCCAACAAAACAAATTCAGTAAATGCAATACTGTAAAGATGAAAGTTAACTCCAATGAGTACTTTCAGGAAACAGACTGCTCACTGTATTGAGGAAAAGCTTGCCACTACACTACTTCTTGACCTCTGCTTGAAATTTTAGGAAGATGGAGAAATTTGCTTTTCTTTCAGTCTTCTGGTACATGGCAATAGGCTGTACACACACATGCCCTATCATCCTTAAAGATGACACTTTAACCATCTTCAAAAGCCAATGGACAAGAACTGAAAGGCTACAGAAAGTTTTCACCAATGCAAAATATCCCCTCATGTTTCAGAGCCAGCACATTAACTTCCACCCCTGCTTCAGTAATCTCCCCACACAACCCAAGCTACTGATGCATTTCCAGGTGTCTTTTACAAAAGCCTCCATTCAAACAACAGCCTTTGTGCGTGCCTGGTGGAGGAATGGGAGGAAGTTTACCATGGCAAACACTGAGTGACAGCACTTCTTTCCATGACTTGAGGATTTTGATCTCTAGAACACGGTGTGAGACACCATGATTAAGGATCTCTCTTTGTGGTGGCACCGCTGATTTACTTCTGAGGGCCTGTAACCAGGTGTGACAGCAATGTCAAGCACAGAGAGACATGCTCCTACTCAGTTCAATGCTGCACAACACCACATTACAGGTAGGTGAGTGAAGCTGATTTGTCAGATCTTGGTAAGGATCTGTGATGCTCTGGGAGAGACAAAACACATCTCAGTGAGTGTGCAGATATGTCGTACCCATTGTTCTGTCTGAGATGGATATCACCCAGGCAGAGTGCCATATTCCATCTCTATCTCCTACTCTGTGACCTATTCTTGTGCTGCTGCCCTTTCACATTGATCAAGGCCACCTGGCTGCACTCCAGGACTCAATTCAGCAAGCAGTGATCTTGAAAATATTTTGAATAGTAATGTGACAGGGCTGGCCAGTACTGGAGCAAAAGCAGCCAAGTTATGGCATCTGAAATTGGCCTGAACAGTTTTCCTACTAGATCTTGTTTTAGCTAAAGTCAACTTTTTTATTCCCCCCACGCTATGGCAAATTTCCCAGGCAGATGTATTTTCTTTTCACCATATGACTTTACTCATTTTTCCATGTGGCGTGGTTTAACCTCAGACAGCAACCAAGCCCCACACAGCTGCATGCTCACTCCCCCCATGGTGGGATGGGGGAGAGAATTAGAGGAGTAAAAGGAAGAAAACTCATAGGTTGAGACAAAGACAGTTTATTAGGACAGACAAGGGAAGAAATTATAATCATGGCGATAATAAGAAAAATAATTAGAATATACAAAACAAGTGATGTACAATGCAATGGGCTCACACTTGCCAGCCAATGTGCGGCTAGTTCCTGAGCAGTGGCTCTTGGCCAGCTTTCCTCGCAGTTTATGCACTGAACACGATGCCATATTTTACAGAATATCCCTATGATCAGCTGGGGCCAGCTGATCTGGCTGTGTCCCTCCCAACTCCTTATGCCTTCCAACCTTCTCACTGGCAGGGCATGTAAAGATGAAAAGTCCCTGTCTTAGCATAAAGACTACTTGGCAACAACTAAAACACCAATGTGTGATCAACATTATTCTCATCCTAAATCCAAACCACAGCACTGTACTAACTATTAGTATGAAAATTTACTCTGTTCAAGCTGAAACCAGAACACCACAGAAACACTTACACTACATGGTAGTGTTGCACCTCATCTCAAATCTATTCTACAACTTCTCCCAGCACATTAACCTCCATGTCCTGTTCATGTAGGAGTCTTTAGGACTGAATTGTCCCATGGGACCATTGTGTACACATGTCACTTTTCAGCTCTATGACATGCTCCTATTACACCAATATGTGCTTAGTACCAAAGTCACTCTGGACAAATGACACTACTGCCTTTAAGACCATCCAACAAGGTGATGAGGAGGTGACAAGAGCCTGGGTAGCCACTTACAGCACAGGTACTTTTGGTGCTCTTACAAAAGGAAATATCAGAAGACTGATGCTTTACAAGAGAAGGCTTTTAAATTCACAAGAAAAAAAGTCACAACAATAGCTTCCCAAAGGGGGAAGAATTTTTTAAGAAACCTAAGACATTGTTCTAATTCATGCTACAACAACAAATGAAAGACTTGAGAACTAATGAAACCAATAATTAGAACATTTTTACATTATTTTGGTTTGCAATCAGTAGTTGACCAATAGAACTAAAACAAGTCACAGTCTTTTTATTACTTGGATAAATTTAGAGAGGTATCTTCCAAAATTGAGTCCTTTTTCCTGTGATGCTTTTGTCTAGGTGTTGGTCTGATTCATTAAAATAAAAAAAAATAACATTTACTTAGCCAAGGTTGCTTACTTCTGAAAACTGGCAATTACCTCCTCTGTTCCTCATTTCATTCATACAATTTGCATGAGTTAAAGTCTGTACTAGCGACAGGATTGCTCACATTGTTCTGAGATCAGCTATACCACCGACTGGTTTGTTGCTCTGCTGTGTGTGACACTGCAGCCTGTCTCACTGATGCTCCCATAAGTCTGCCTACAGGACAAAGTTCTCAGAGATATCAAGAAGGGATGTACAATCACATCTTCTGCTCAAATTTATGTCATGTTTTCAATATGATGAGTGCCTCAACTTCCTCCTGGCTTTCATTTTGAGTGTACAGTTTTTTCCAAATTCTTTATCAGTGAGAAGTCCTCAGTTAAATTTAGGCAGTCTCATTGAGACTATACATGTTTAGCTAAATATGTAGCATAATTAGTTACCTGTGAAGACTGCAGACAGGTTGCAATAACACAGTCTTATGCCCTGTCCTCCTAAATCAGGAAGACTGCAGACTCTAAAGAAAAGAAAGTTTGCCATTGGAATCTTTATGGATTTAACCTATCCTATATATTTATTTCTTCCCTGTCTTTTATCTAAGTTTTCTTCTCTCTGTTCTACCTTTTGCTCCTCCTCTCCCTCCCAGCATAACATATTCACAAGTCAGCTACTGGAACCTCAGTTATAAATACCCTTACCATTTTTATGGTAATACATGTTAACACCAAGCCAGTTAATCTACAAGGACAGAAGGATGCATTTCAAGAGAAATTTTCCCTTTAAAATATTTAGATTGATGCCATATTTGTTCTCAAACAGAATGGGATTGTGCTCAGTATGGTGAGTTGACAGTAATGTCAGAAAAATGAGAGCAAGAATGGGCATATGGTCTGAAGGTCACTCAAACTGGTTATACAGTCAAGTTTCCTTCTGCCAGGATATATATTACAGAAGTGGAAAGAGACACAAAGGAAATTTCTGCAGTATTTTAATATCTGGGGCTTCTCACAGTGGAGAAAAATAATTTCTATAGACGGTCCCTGTGAGTTAAAACACATTATTATTCACATTCTGTAGACAGAAAC